TGACCATGGGTGTGATAAACCTCTTGCACAATATCCGCATCTTCTTTTAATGAATCGCTTCAATACCAAGCACAAAGGTAGGTCCTGACAGACTGCTGTAGAGATCAAACTGATTTAATCTGGATTTGCTCCTGACTTGTATCTAACTTGGGTAAGAATCAGATGTTGTATCTTTTAATTTCAAGGGGTTTTTTTGTTCTTTGGTTGTTGGTTTTTCTTCCCTCAAGAAGCTAACGGGAACTTGAATTTTAAAGTGATTTTATTTTGAGGAACACAAAGTAAATGGGTATTATTTTAAGGCTAATGTACTGAATTAGGTAAATAGAGTTTATAAACTGATGGTTGTTGAAAGAAAACATGCTTCATTGGGTGACATTTGCTAAAAACACTTGCATTCATCATGTCTTGATGCCTTCGTAGCTTATTTATGACTCTGTTAATGCTGTCTGCTCTGGTGGTGAAGCTCCCACCTAAGTAGTAATATAAATCAGTAGGATGCCAAAAGTCAACCACACTGCAACATTTTAATGTTGCTGGGTAAGAGAGACTCATGAATACAAAATGCCAAAAATCAATAGTAAAAAAGCCTCCAGTCACGCCAAATCAGGCTCTGACCTTCTTCCCCCTTAGAGCTTCACCGTGGCTGGGCGATGGGTTACCAGCACTGGATGTCCGGGTTCTCTGCCTGCTGCAGCAGAGGAGGGCAGCGCCCACGGCGCAGTGAACTGCACTTTCATGTGAGTCAGGATCAAACCAACGGACCCAGCTTGTGGAATTACCGGGATGCCAGGCTACTGCCTCATCTCCTCCATGCTAGCAGAAATGCGTGTAAAACCCATTTAGAAACTGGCCCACCTTTTTTTGGACATCATGTGAAGCTAAGGCACTGATATTTTCTGGCCACTGAAGAGCTAAGTCTCATTTCTGTGCCCATACACACATAGAGCAAAAGCTACTTTCATGAAGTTCATATGCTGGTAAATCAAAGTGAGATCTGCTACATTAGTCCTCTGCCATAGTTGCCCCCAGTGTTTTGGTTCAGTTTCAAAGAAATAACTATACTTTGATGTTACCTGCAACTTTTTATCTTTCTTTTCAAAGAAAAATCTTCAAATTCTGAAAGATTAGTCGCAGCTAATTTGGGGGCAGTATAGGGACAAAACTCTGTGAAAAAGAACATGTTAAAACACGTTCAAATGTGGTTGTACATCAGTGCAGGTACGTGCGACGAGCCTTTCAGTCACCCCAACACATCAGCTCTACTCAAGGTTATGGGAGAGATTTAGTTTTCTGGTGTTTTCTCTCGCCTTAATGCTAAGTGATAAAACAAATAAATAAATAATCACGCAAACCATTCTGGAAAGTCCTGCCCTTTCCTTCTCAAAAAATCATTAGATAAGACCGTACCATCAAAAATAAGCAAGCTTTCTGAGGTATTCTCCTGCTAACATATGAACACAATCCTCTGTTATTCCCCCCTAGCTGGCACACACAGAGTGAGTCTCTATAAAAGGTGTGTTTTGACCTGCCTAGAGACACAGAAAGCTAAGTAATATCTTACAGAGATTTTAATTTAATCTTTCATGTAGCCAGGGAGCTTTAAGCTCTAGCGCTTTTAATTTATGTTACCTCATAAATTAATAACGTAGGTATTATGGAGGGTAGCTCATCAGATTAAACGTGTCATTTTATAAAGCAGTTCGGAAGCAAAAAGTACGAAGCCAAAATGAAGTAGTCTTAAATGATCCATTAGGTGCATAAATCATTACATGTGTTGTTTCTGCACTGGACAGTGGTTGAAATGAATGATAATTTAGTTACTGTAATTTTATTTTAAGGTAGTGAGCACTTGCACAAGAAGTAAGAGAGCACCACTGACCCTGGCGTGTTCTTCTGCAGCCTGCCAGAGCTCTCTGCGTCCCCCCCACGCAGGCGGTCCCATGCCAAGGGTGGTGGCATCCTTGGTAGCGAGCGTGAACACGAATGCATGAGTTTTGGTTTCCCCTGAAGACTGACTCCCTCCCCATGCTGTGGGCACAACTGATACTCTACTTCAGCTTAAAAAGAAAGTTTCTTACCATGCAAAATGGGTCAGTCAGAAACCCTTAATACTTTACATTACGGTCTAATACTCAAAATCTTAGCAAGAAACTGAATAAACCTGCTCTTAAATTTAATGTGTGGTAGCAAATTTATTACAACTGTATGTGCTATAAAACGGGAAAAAAAATCTGTGCAGCTTTAAACTGGTTTGTGTCCACAACAGGTATGTACCTCTGTGAGACTACGAAACATACACATTCATATATTTGCAGCATAGTATATAAACCTACTGGTACAACACAATAGCAAATTTAAACCTAATAAGCCGTATCATCTGTATAGGATGGTCTATCTATTCACTATATCTGTTATCAGTATCTATTCACTGTTCCTACATTTTATGATCCCCCTTTTGTAGATTTTTTTTCCCGACGGCTGCTGTTCTTTACATGCTCTTTAGCTGTGTGGCGAGGCACCCCAAAGCATGCCTGCTGGCTCAGCCACCCCCGAGGCAGGGGCAGTGGGAAGGGGGAGGCTGAGCTGCCCAGCCCTGCTGAGGACGTGTCCTTGGCAAGCTTTGTGGCCAAAAAAATGAGGTGGCTGTGGATTGTAGCAACCTGTGGAGCCAAGATCTGAGTATTCCTGCCTTTACTATCTCACTGCTAAGGTGACTTAGATGCTGTATTTCCACCTTCTCCCACTACCACGTTTTCATTTATCTCATTGCAAATTCCTGCCAGAGTACATAAAATATAAATGAAGGTGACGGATAAAAGAAGCAGCAAATGATTAAGCAAGCTGCTTGTTAGTTCCAGGTCAGAACTGTCTTATTTTACCTATCCAGAAGCCCATGCAATCCCTTCCTAACATGTCCAACTGTGCCTGGAGTGCAAGCTTTCCTGAAGATAGTAATGCCTCGTATAGAGCTGCAAAGTCTCTGTATCTCTCTCTCTCTATATACACCCATACATATATATAATATGCAAAAAGGGGCTACAATTAAGAGGGATGCTGGAACTCAATGCTTGGGTTTTCAGACGTACGTGCATGAGACATCTCAGCCGTAATGGAGCAGGCAGATGAACAGTAATTCTTTTTACAGTAATTCTTGATGCAAGACCACTGCAAGGTCTCAGCACAGATAGCGGACATGCTGAAGCAGACACTACACAAAAACACGGTTAGGGACAGTCCTCCCTCTTAAGGGCTATCTCATGCCAACGAACAGAGAATACAAACAAATCAGAGGCCTGTAGTGATTTGCTTAAAGCCACAAAACAAATCTGCAGCAAAGCTTGGAACCAAAGCCATATCTTCAAGTCTACACCAATAAAAAACTGCGGATTAACCCTATTCAGTCTGCTGGTCAGACACACAAACGCACCTATTTTACTAAGCCTGCTGCAAGCTTACTTGTGACGATGTTCCCCTGTATCCCAAACAGACTGCAGGGCTTGCACCTGCTCTTCAACACAGCCATCATTTAATTAAAGGGAAGACATGAAACTACCAACCATATCAATTAACTGCAGCAACAAAGAGCGTAATGCTCTGGTTTTAACCCCAGGCATCTGGCGAACCACAACCGCTCACCCCAGAATTCAGCAGTATTTAAAACATTATCTGAGTGCAGCTAGAAAGAAAAATACTTAAAAACCAAAGAAATGAAAAGGTAGTTGTTTTGGGCTAGCATTTGTTATTGTTTTCAGATTAAACTGTTGCTTTCTCTAACGTCCATACTTCTCATCTCTGAAGCCACCATGTTTGCTGCGGAGTAAACGACAAATACAGACTGCAGGCTGCAGTGCAGGAAACCTGGCATCTTATGAAAATGCCTTCAGAATTTCTGGATGCTGCTCTAGGACCTGCAGTGAACAGTGAAATTCCTTATCTGCAGCCCCCAAATGATTCAGAAGATGAACAAACTGTAACCATGGCTAAGCAGCAAAATTTCAGCATTTATAATCTTAATCCTTTTCATCTGAGGTAGAGCATCTCCTGAGTACCCTGGTTTCTTATATTTTCTCTGCAGTAAGTTTCCACCGCGCTGCTGCGCAGCTGGAGGCTGAAAAATGTGTACTTCTTACTGTTTACTTTCTGAGCTACTTCATTAAAAGGCCATGAGCCCCACTGTGTAACAGAAGGGGAAAACGTTGTTCACATCCTTCCACGTATCGGGGAAGCTCTCTGACAAGAGACATCTTGATAGCTGAGTCATCCCATCTGTCCCAGGCACCTCTCAGGCCAAAACGAGATGAGACGACGGAGAGCTCACCCAGAGGCAGCCCTTCAAGCAGCCAGAGCATCCTCAGCCCCTCACGGAGGACGGGCACTCGGGGTTTTCCGTGAGAGCTTCGGGCTTTGTGGGTTTGGCTTGCTCTAAAGACAAGGTGTGCTGAAGACAAAGTGCTGCCTTTGGTTACGACTGCGCTTCCTCCCGGAAATAAACACAGCAGCTCGAGCTGAACTGGGATCAGAGCTTGGCTTCTGATGTCAGGGGCATAACGCCAGGAAAATACCGCAATACTTTTTGCTTGGCTATTCAAGGCACTGCACTAGTCCTGAAGTTTGGAAAAGAAAAGCTTACTTAGCTTACTCAGAGATTGCCATGAAAGTCAGCTGTGGGTGGAGGAAGGACGTATTAATACAAAAATGATGTTCACAGAGGTTTGCAGAGAAAACTCCTGAGAAACAATTGCAGAAAATGCGGGCTTTCATTACGTGACTTGTATGTATCAGAAATAAACCTGGATTTCTTACTGTTGGAGTGAAATTGTATTAAGAATAATCACATACCACCTAGCACAGGACAGAGAAGGAATTCAGAGTATCCTTTAACAAAACCTGAATGGGAAAGCAAATGCAAGTTCGATTTAACCGGCTGACCTGAACAAAAAGTCTGCTAGAGGCAGAGCAGCATGCAAGAGCCACAGGAGAAGAAACAAAAGCTCCCATACCTGTATCTTTGCTTTGGAGACTGCTTTTCAGCTGACTTAAAAACATGTCCAAGATAATACAAAGGAAAGAATAAAAAGTTCCAGTTTGTTGCAAACCACGTTAGAGTGAAGGGTGCATCGAATTTCTTAAAGGTCAGTTTTGCTAGCTGGGTTGAACCCGACCAGGAGGAGCAGACACCCAGGACCACGGCCACACCCCAGCAAATCTTCTTGAGCTGCGTCACGGAGCATTTCCAGCAACAGCGGTTCACCCTTCCACCGCCTTCTGCCCCGGCTTGCATCTGTGCTTCGGCTGGGGCCGGAGACTCCCGGGAGTGCTCATCCCCTGGGGAGAAGAAAACACCAGGCTTACTAAGGAAACCCAGCCTGCACTTCAGTTTTCAAATCCTAGGCCCTTCCGAAGTCACGTGGAGCTTTACCAGCAAAAGAACCCACAAAACGTCCTTCGTTTTTAGATCATTGCAAAACCTCTGGTTCAACTGAGGCATAATTACAATGCAAATAATAATTATCACCCCTAGATTTAGAAGCCACTGGGTAAAATGGAAATGAAAATTACATGTTGCTTTGATGTACGTCGAAAGGCTTAACACACCACTTAAACTGATGCTGTTAGGATGTGTAAATGAATGAAAAACACGGCGCTGAGTTTAATAAAGCAGCAAAGGGGAATACAACAACACTTGGAATTGTTATTGTCTTGGAAAATGTGGAGCTGGGCAACTTACGGAATACGGTGCTTCTTAAAAGGAGAGAGGGGACAATGCATATAATCTTTTAGTTAAGCACGGTCACTGCAGCGTAAGTAGCACGATTAATAGCGAGCTGGGATCATTGGGCATTTCATTGATCCCTAGCAAAACAGCTCTCCCGAGGCTGTAACCAAATGGCAAAAATTAGACCAACCCACAGGCTGCCCCGAAGGGCACCTCAAACTAGGCAACCCGAACTTTTTTTAGCTCGAGCCCTGCACCAAATGTGACGTGGCACACGGACTGGAACTTTGCCCCGGTATAACGGAGCCTCAGACGCTGCTGGAAGACTCACACACGCCTTACTGCTGACTCCAGGGTCCCAAAGGAGAGACTGCTCCTCAGCCAGGCACCCGAGCGCCCATCAGCTCAGTTACAGACACTGTAAGAACCAGGCGGCAAATTTTGAAGACGGCATCCACGTTTGGTTTCAAATCGGCCACATGACAGCCATCAAAACCTCCTTTGGGCTTATGTTTCCAAAAACTTGTCTCTTTCACATATTAGAGCACTTTGTTTAATTAAAAGATAATTTCTCTCCCCCAAAACCCTGCCCCTTTACTCAAACAGCGTAAACATGAATTGTTCAAGCCCTGCTATTGTACCACCATCAGCAGACACTGTGTCCAGCTTGTGAATGAAAGAGCGAAGCGAGGTTAGGTGGTTGAGCTCCTACGGAGATGAAAATGCGCTGGCGGACCTCAGCAGCAGGCCACCGCCTCCAGGGCTGTCACCTGCCTTGCTTAAATTCACCCCATTCGACACCCACTAAAGCTGTCGGTCCCCTGCATGCAACCCTCGGCAGTGATTGCTGTTAAAGGCCGACTCCAGCTTAGCCGGCCCATTCACCTGAAGGAGGATGTAATAGTAATTCACGCTGAAAGTCAGGAACTGACAGCTTCAAAAGTGTCCAGAGGTCACCGCATGCGTTGGAAGGTGAATAGACAAATATAAGTACGGCCAGGACAGTGAGAGACTCTGTTATTGCCAAACGTTTATATATGTCGAAGGCAGACTAAGAGATCCAGAGACAAAAAATCCTTCCTTATCCTGGTGAGAGTCAGTATTTGGAAGGGAGAGTGTCTTTAAATCTCTTCTATCAGGTCAACCTAAATTTGTATTTATATGAGTTAATACATTATTAAATAAAAGGTTTATTCAAATCACAGAATCACAGAATCACAGAATGTCTGGGGTTGGAAGGGACCTCTGTGGGTCACCCAGTCCAACCCCCCTGCCGAAGCAGGGTCACCCAGAGCAGGCTGCACAGGACCGCGGCCAGGCGGGTCTTGAATATCTCCAGAGAAGGAGACTCCACAGCCTCCCTGGGCAGCCTGTTCCAGTGCTCCGTCACCCTCAGAGGGAAGAAGTTAAATGGAGGGAACAATTTCATTCTTCCTTTACTGGTAAGAAAAGCATGATCTGAGCTAAAAGTACCATTAGTTTGCCTAGTAAAGCTGTGGTTTTGTTTTGTAATGGGAAAAATGGTGGCCTCTGTTCGACATCTTGAAATCTAGAAAGAATGTACAGCAGCAAAGGTATAAAAATCTAGTCTTTCTGAGCAGCTTTAAGAGAGATGGGATGCTGCTGATCTCTCCACTTCTTCCAGTTCTCAGCAGAAGATTGTGTGGGCAGCTTCCCACATAACAGGAGATGCACCAGCAGGCCAACAAATTACCCGAAGTTAATGTGGCTTTGTATTAAACACCTCATGGAAAGGTTACAAGCTACCTGCTAACTATTAGAAGATGCTGGAACTGAAAAAAGGCTGCCTACGAACGCTTAGCTCATTCAGAATAATTTTAATTCATTTTGTTTACATCACTGCTTGTAACTAATGCTTCTTGCCTCACTCACTGCACAGACCCGTCAGGATTCAGTTTACCGAACAACAGTACATTGATTTCTCTTAACTTCACCACGCAATGGGCAGCTGTCGGCACTCTCTTTGCTGTCCACCACACAAGCTCTGCAATGATTACTCAATTTTTCCTTTCCTCTCAAGCTTTTCCACTGCAATGCCAAACACTTCACACAGCCCACCGAACTCCATCATCCTTCCCATGGACTGAGGGGAGAGCTGGGCACAGAAAAAATGAATCCAGACAGTCGAGGTGCCAAGCGAGCGCTTAGGAGGGTTTTGTACCACTGTGTCAGTGCAGGGAAGAGCCTCCCTCCACTCACAGTTTGCATCTCTGAAAGTAGGAGAAACTTATAGAAAACAATAGAATCATTAAGGTTGGAAAAGATCTCTAAGATCATCAAGTCCAACCGTCAACCCAACACCACCATGCCTGCTAAACCATGTCCAAAAGTGCCACATCTACACATTTTTTGAGCATCTCCAGGGATGGTGACTCCACCACTGCCCTGGGCAGCCTGTTCCAATGCCTGACCACTCTTTCAGTAAATACATTTTTCCTAATATCCAGTCTAAACCTCCCCTGATGCAACTTGAGGCCATTGCCTCTCGTCCTATCACTAGTTACTTGGGAGAAGAGACCAACACCCGACTTGGAGACCTAGGCAAAAATGTTCCTCTGGCTAGAAGATAGCTAGCAGGGTTCCTGTCGTCCCCGTCTTCTCTGCAGTTATTCCCCTAGGAA